GGTTGGAGCCCAAATTGGGATCTGAGAAGGGGTCTCTTGAGCCAGCAAGTGCAGCCTCCTGTCTTTTCGGGCACTCATTTATCTAAAGATCCTCCAATCTAGGAATTGCTACATCAGACTGTCTTGCACCATCACTATCAGGCACAAAGCAAAAATTCCAGGAGCGCTGAACAAGCGGTAGGGTAAAAGCAGGGGAGACGAGGGCACTGCCACTACTACTGCAATGACGGGGCAGTAGCTGGATTACTATATGCTCAGAGGATCCTGGAAGGGAGGACCAGGCCACAGAGAATGGCAGAACCCCCTCCCAGCCTTTGCTAATCTAATGCAGGGGAGTGGGGAAAAAAAATCTTGTTGAGCTCTTATTTGTGAATGGAGATGCACCTGTGCGTTCTATGCGTCTATGGCCCTAATCTATAGATTCAGTTTTGTAACAAGTGATTTTGATATTCTGCAACTTAAAACAAGCAAACAACCCTCCCCTGGTTTACAGTGGGACCAAACTGTTAAGACATCTAACAGTTAGCAGTTAGTTGAAACTTAGTTTGAACCTCCTCTGATAGCTGCCTTCTTCCCTTTACATTCCCATTTTCTACGTAGACTACTTAACAATCTCCCTTCACTTCATCATGATGCCTAACTTTAACTCCTTGGTAGCTGGCTCATAAGCTGCTTTTGTGAGAAACTGTCAATCTAACATTTTAAAATAAAGCTTGGGCTTTGTTCTTTCCAAGAATTTGGTTGCTGTTTATACAAGTAAGACATGAGGTGTTGTTCAGATAGCTTTTCCTGTGGCTGTTCCTCGCACTGCAAACCGCTTTTGTGGAAGACAAAGAGCCACCCCCAAGAGACTCGTTCCCATCTCAATGTCTTCAGTGCCTGGTTTCTGCTGGCCATAGTAAATAGGCCTCTTTGCTGTGTCTAAACCAAGAACTAGAAGCAGCTCAGGACCTTATCATAGTGTTACACATTGATCCCACTTTTTATTATGCAAAAAATTTTGTTTCTGTTGATTCCAGGGAGTGCTATGGCATCTTTTTTACAGTAAGAAGGTGGAAAGGAGGAAGACAAAGGAAAAGTCTGATTTATTCTGATTTATTTCTGTCACAATGCCAACACCTAGATGGAATGACAGAACCATTTATTTCTGTTTCCCCTTCATTCCAGACCTTGGGATGAGTTGTCCTTTCTTCGAATAAAGGTTGGCTGGCTGAGTCTTTCTGTCCATACAAATAAGATGGCAACTGCTAAACTACAAGCACCTTTCAATGCTTTAAAAGTAATTTTACAATAGATCTACCTCTGCAACAAGCCAGTTTTCCTATGTGGAAAAAAAGCACCCACACTTTCAGGGTGAAAAAACTCCTCCAGCTCATTCTGTTGTTTTCTCTATTTCCCAATGCCCCCATGAGAAAGGTGGGTCCTGCATCCTTTAAAGCCAGGGTGTCAAAAGATTTGGCCCACACGTCAGATTGGGCCTGCAAAACTATCATTTGGTCAGTGGGGCTCCTGGATGAGCTAGGGATTTGGGATTGGCTGGAGTACCAACTAGTTGTAGGACATTGGGTACTTCAGTTTTCATTTCTTTGTCTGTGAAATGGGTATAACTTCAAGAGTATTCCACTTTGATATCATCAAGTGAAAAAGTCATAAAGTGCCAAGTGTTGTTGGTTGTTACCTTTATGCTTGGGGAGGAGGTGACTGCATGAATATATAACCTCTCTGCTCTCCTCTCCTTGTACAAATTGGTTACATTCCCTCTGACTTCTGTCAGACTAGTACAGTTTATGAAAAGGGATGTGCAGGCACTATATTTATAACCTCCCCAGACTACAAGCAAGTTACTCAGCCATCATTTTAACCATTTATGGTCACTAAATCCAGCAATAAATTGGCTGGGCAACCACACTCAGTGAGCCCACTGCCAAATGGAAACCACAGAGCTTATAGAAGTCCCCAAGGCACTCTCATGCTCCCAGTTGCAACCATTGTGAAGTGGGTAGGGCACTTCCTGGACTTCACCTAGTGGTTTATTTTGTCTCTGGGCTGACATGAAGATGTATAGCCTTAACCCTGTCTTTCAAGTATTGCTAGCACTGTTTGCAGTGCTGCATGGCTTCAGTGATCAATTCTGTTTCTTGCAGGACACAGATGAGAAGGGATGGAGAAGCAAGTGCTTGAAGGCCAGCCAAAACACTGTCTAAGCATCGAAGCCCAGAGTGGCCAGAACGTTTCCTGCAGATCTTGCCATGTTTCTTTTTGGTCTGGTAGATGACAGGAGCTCTCAGACAGAATGCTTTGGTAGTCTTGGATGGTGCCAACTCTATTGCTGGTACTTAGCAAAATTAAGTCATTAAATCAATATGACAGGGAATAGCAGAGATACAATTAAATGCCTATTGGCTTTGGACTCCTAGTCTGAGTGTTCAGTCCGCAAGACCTCACTACCTCATTGCAGTATCTGCATCTAAAGTACCTTGACTTTCAGACTGCTGTGGCAGTCCCCTTAGCGGTGTGTGGGATGATTTGTACCATTCTAGTATCACTTATGTTTTAAGACAGGGGTCAGCAGGCTGGATCCAGCCCATGGAAAGGTTTGGATCTGGACTGTGAAGGTGCACAGTGGCACGCAGCTGTGCTGTGCTGCCAGTACCCCTCCATAGCCCTCCCTGCTGCCCTCTTATGCCTGCCCTATCCTTTGCTGCAGAATTTGCTTCTTCCCATCGGGGATGGGGCAGCACTGTACCCAGACTCCTGGCAGCCCTGGGCAAACTTTTAGTATGGGGGGGGGGGGGGGGGGGCCCTTGCCCCGGGAGGGGGGTA